CTGAGATTCACTGCTAACGCAGACTGATGGACGCACAACCTGCAAACCCCACAGCAAATTGACAAAGTATGTTTAGATCCACAGCGCAGAAGGCGCAGTCTCTGAGATCGTGATGCAGTGCACATGAAATCATTTACAATGTAAGATATTTTGATTTATAGGACCCCCCCCATTGTTAAGGCACCTAACAAAGTACACAGGCTCCAAAACTACATTTTTTTCTTTGGGTACTATTTTATGGCTACTGCCCTCCAAGCCGCTGTGATCTAATGTATTAATTAATTACGATTACATTAGGACTTTCAGGGAGTCTTGCTTCAGTACCAAACGAACTGTCAAACTATACCGATAGCTACCAGCTCCATTTCTCCTGCTGTAGTCCCATTGGTTGATCACTGGCTGGTACTATTGCTCTGACTGCTCATGTAGCATTAACTGCAATCAGGTAATATGTTGGCTTGTGTCAAGGTTCCTTCCTCACTCTGAACTCTAGGGTACAGATGTGGGGACCTGCATGAAAACCTCCTAAGCTTACTTTTACCAGCTTAGGTTAAAACTTCCACCAGGTACAAACTATTTTACCTTTTGTCCTTGGACTTTTGCTGCCACCCCCAAACGTCTAACTGGTATTATTTTATTAGGAAACAGGCCGTTTGGAAATGTCTTTCCCCCCAAAATCCTCCCAAACGTTTACCCCCCCTTTCCTGGGGAAGATTTGATAAAAATCCTCACCAATTTGCATAGGTGACCACAGACCCAAACCCTTGGATCTTAAGAACAATGCAAAAGCATTCAGCTTCTTAAAAGAAGAATTTTAAGAACAGAAAAAGTAAAAAGAATCACCTCTGTAAAATCAGGATGGTAAAGACCTTACAGGATAATTAGATTCAAAACACAGAGAATCCCTCTAGGCAAAACCTTAAGTTACAAAAAGACACAAAAACAGGAATATCCATTCCATTCAGCACAGCTTATTTTTCTCAGCCATTTAAAGAAATCAGAATCTAACGCATATCTAGCTAGATTACTTACTAAGTTCTAAGACTCCATTCCTGTTCTGTCCCCAGCAAAACCATCACACAGACAGAGAAAAACCCTTTGTTTCTCCCCACCTCCAGCTTTGAAAGTATCTTGTCTCCTCCTTGGTCATTGTGGTCAGATGCCAGCGAGGTTATCCTAGCTTCTTAATCCTTTACAGGTGAAAGGGTTTTTCCTCTGGCCAGGAGGAATTTTAAAGGTGTTTACCCTTCCCTTTATATTTATGACAGCTTGTATTATGCAGGTCAAACTAGATGACCATATCTGTTCCTTCTGGCCTTAAACTCTATGGTTCTATGATTATAGAACTGGGGGGGGGGGATTTAAACCCTGCCCCTCCCTCCAGCCTTAGCCCCTGCTCTCTCCTGGATTAACATCAGATATGCCTGGATGTTTTACAAACCCCTTTTTCCATAGCCTAGACAAGGCCAAAGCATTCACAGACATTCAGGACTTTTCAGTGACAACAGTCTGAGTTTTGAGTTTCTAACTATACAAATAAACCACCAGGCAAGATTTACATTTCACATAACAGTACTTGTAACCCTTGTGGCCTCTCCCATCCCTGTCTCATGTTGGCAGTAGATAAGCAGTATAGTCTAGTGGTTAGAACCAGGGACAGGAATACAGAACTTCTGAGTCCTAGTCCCACCTCTGCCACTGACTTATGATATTTTGGACAAGACTCTTCGTCTCTCTGAGCCTTAGTTTACCCAACTGTAAAACTGATGGGCAATGTGGCTTAAGTGGAAATTTTCATAAAACACAGATCCTACAATGGAAAGCTTTATAGAACTGCAGAGTATTAAACAGTGTCACAGTCTGACACAAGCTCCTTCATGAGTATTCAACACATCATGAGAGCCCAGCAGAATAAATCCAAGAGAAAAAATAATTCAAATACCTTCAACTTTTAAGTTCAAGTTTTCCAACCAAAACCACTTAGTTTTGTTCTGGCAACAGTAACAAGTTACTGACTATAGGAGTTTCAGGTGCCACACCTCTGTAGTTAGTAGAAAGCATTTTCAATAGCTGGGATATGGCTAAGAAATTGTCTGCACTTGCCAGAAATAATCTGAGAGTTCATCTTGGGTGTTCATTTGATGAATTCATTAATTCAATGTGCTCAGCTCCAGCAAACTTGGCACACAAAGGCAACCCACAGGAATACATCTGTTGGAAATGTGAGCGTTGCAGCAAGGACCAATTGTCCAAGTGAGGCTCTACAACTCAAAAGATGTATTGCAAACATTTATCTAGCAGTTTGCAAAACGAAATGTGAATAAAAACAGATGGAGCATGAACCACTTTCAGCCACTAGATGGCAGAGTTTCACAAGCAGGGTTTGCACTTTTGGCTTTGATGTGGTGCTGTGCATAATTCACACAATGAATTCTTAACAGTTCCAGCAGTTAATGGACTAAATTTTGAGGTGCTGGATAGTGCAGATGGTTTATTCGTTATCTTGTAATCCCAGGAAAACAGTGTTCAAAACAACTAAACTGCAAAAGCTTCAGAATGTCACACAGTCACTGCCTTTGCTGGATGAGTGTTGTTGCAACTCGTGCGCATCTGCAGGGATTGGCCCCGGGTTAGCACCCCTTCCCATTAAGGGTGGGCACAGGGCTCCAACAGCCGTTCTGAGAAGTCAGGAATACATCTATTCCTCACCTTTTTCAGTCTGTGTAATGAGCAGCGGCACAAGCAGTAAAGCCATTTGTGGGCTCTCCTAGAAAACCCTGGCAGGTTAGCAATGCACAGGTGGATCATTGGCATAGGGAATCGCATGTATCAAAGTGCACTGAGAAGCTAAGAATAACCCTTTGCCCCACTGAGAATCGTCATGACAGTGTCTCCCAAATGTATGAATTTGAAATGCTAGTAAAAGTCAAGAAAAAGAGCACAAATATATTTTGGTTAGAAGTCCACACTGAGAAACTCACCACACAGAGCTCAGAGAGGTGGGAACTCTGTGGACATCTCTCTTCAAAAGAATCCCCCCCGCCCCATCTATCTTCTCCTGCCCAATATACCTGACAAGTTACCTTCTGGCTCCCTCCAGTGGAATAATTCCACTCTTCCTTCCATACCTTTCCCCACTACAGGGAAAGGTTAACATTGACAAGTGGAGAAGAAAGCCGTAAATTCTCTTCTATACTTTGAGATATGTTTAAAGGGCCAAATCTCCAAATAAGCCAGGGCCCTGGGAGCCACGCAGGGTGTGTACGTGCACATTCTGGCCAATTTTAATGACATCTGAATCATCATGGCCTCAAAAACAGATCTACGTACACAGAAAATGGAGACTAACGTCTCCTGCGACCCTGCAGACATCTGCTAATATCCAGGCTTCTCTAGATCACTGGGAAAAGCAACAATATCAATTTTTTTTTAAATAAGGAAAAAAATATATCCTCCTCTTTAGCTGGATCTGGACAATGATGGGTCTCAAGGATTGGCTTCTCTTTTTCCTGTCTAGGCTCTGTTCCCTTTTCTGGTCTATTCAATATCTCTCTCACTGTCATGGTGTGCATTTGGCCATGGGGCTTGTAGCAACCATGGCCCAGGCACCACACAAGTCCTGAGATTTTATAGGTACTCCCAAAAGCTTGAATTCATCCAAAAGCCTGAGACAGGCAGCCATGTTCCAGAATGAGGACTCAATTTATTATCCCCTCCCCTACCAGTGACACTACACCCCATATAGTAATCCTATCTTCACATTTAATAAGCACCATCACATCCTATGGAAATAGGGAGTCTTTTTGTACTTAGAATTTTCCCTGCTCAGTTGTGGCTCCCAAGCTGAAGTAACGGGTCTTTTCCCTTTTCATTAAGTTTTGTTCCAATTCTAGGGCTACCAAGGGAATAAAGTGAAAAAAAAAATAATGGAAACCCAGCACCAGAGCAAACACAAAACCAGGCAAATATGCTGTAAAAACATACAGTGACAGAGGAATTTCATAAAGACTGGGGCTTGGTTAAACATTCACAAGTTTGGATACTTCACTGAATCAACAGAGGCCTCCCCCCAGGCCCAGCCATCCTCCATCTCTTCACAGATCCCCTGCCTGATGGCCGACGAGATAAAATAGTGGCTTGTGAGAGAATGTAGAATGGCCAGCAATGCCACTCTGGTATGGCTGAAGGATGGCTAAAAGACCTATACCACACCTGTCCCTATCAGTATTTTGTCCCCCACTCATCTGTCTGCATCCCCAACCACACCTGTCCACCTAGGTGAAGAGGGCTATAGGAGAGGTGGTGGGGGTTGACTCCATCTCCTACCCCACCATCTCACTACAGCATTAAGTGGTGTTGTGCGTACTGTAGGGCGGTAAATGATGCTTGTATGTTTTAAATGGGAACAGAGCATCCTGGCCACCCTCTGCTTTAGTTCTACACAAAGTCACCTGCTTCCCACCTAACTCTATATTGAGTCTACTGCGATGGAACACACACTGCTGACTTCCCACTGGTCACTGCATGTACGTGCCTCATGGCACTTCGTAATGAGGAAAGAAGTTCCTGAATAATTCTGAGGAGCAGCTGGGTCTCTGGAGGCAGCCTACATAGTCTGGGGAGATTTGAGGGACTAATACCAATACATCAGTTCCCAAGGATTCAAGAGTCAGAAATACCATATGCCCCAACCCAAACAACTGCCCACCAACAGAAGGGGCTGGATTTCAGTACTGAGAGCAGTATTATTATATCAGTACTACATCAATTGCACTGTTAAAAAAAAAATCACAACTAACAGGAGATTTTTCTGACCACGCTGCTATTTGCAGCCAATTTCTATTCTTATTTTTCTAGTTGCGCTACTGCATTTATTCTTTCAACTTATATAATAAAATAAGAATGCCTATAAAAGTGCACACTAAACACAGCTTATTTTTGTTCTGTATTTAGAAACAATATAAAATGAACACTCAGTATGTTTTCTGCTTATATTTCAGGTACAACACTGAAGAAACCAGTTGTAAATAATGATGGCTTCCCACCTGTGTGTTTAAATGAAGCAAGTCACAATGAGGCCAAGCTGGTGTCATAAGCAACAAGGATTTCTCACCAAGGGACCCAGTGGAGACCGTACAGGGGAAAAATCATCCTACTCTGTCATCTTAACAACAAATATTGTTGGAGCTTAGGACACACACCCTTGAATCCAGGTTTGCAAATGGGCAATAAACATGCTCCATTTTTCAATTACAATGAGTTTATGGTGAAAGTTGTTCCATAACATGAATGTGTAATGAAATGAATATATTTTCTGTCATATTGCACCATATGATGAAGTCTTTCAGGCGACAAAAAATGCCAGTATGTTTTTTTTTTTAAAATGCAAATATGTGCCGAATAAGCATTAACTTGGTTTAGATAATTTAGAGGATTTTCATTCTTTTGGATAATGTATATATTGTGAATTTCTACTGAACTTCACAGAAGTGCTTAATAGATTTTATTGTAATAGTTTAATCATCTTAAACTTGATCATGCAGATTACATTTGTACGCTGAGATTTACCTGGTTTAAAACATTTTGTAAATATGGAGATAAAAATAACAGGAAGTATAAAATGGTCTGCCCTATATTCTCCAAAGAAGTTTGTTTACTATGTACCCTAGTTATAGAGGGTTGTGTCTGAGAATGACTATTAAAAAGTTGTTACCTTAAAACAGAAGTAAGAAAAACACCCTGTTTAAGTATAAGACAGTGGTTTTATTTAATCCCAGAAAGACTTATTTTTCTAATTTAGAACCCAGTTAGATATACCAGTTAGATATACCACTAATCTCACTTTCATTTTCTACGAAGAAGCTTCTCAAGGTGGTTTAACTCAAGAGCCATTATTTTCAAGATAGTTCTAAGTTATGCTTAATTGCAAGAGGTCACATACTGGAAGGGCACAGGATTATACTGGATTGAAACTGGATACATAAAAATTCTATGGCCTGTACATTGGACTGTGATCTAATGGTCCCTTCTGGCCTTACAATCTATGAAAAGAATATTAGATCATCTAGTTGAGTATCCTGACTCAAATAGGGTTTGACATCTGATGCTTTGTGGAAGGAAAAAAAAAATCCATAATGCATGTAGACAATTATATGGGGTGGAGAATGAGGTGAGGGAAGAGGATTCTTTACTGACTTCCACAAGCAGTCATTTTATACCTTGAAGCATGAGATGTGCTTACCCTTTGCTTGCACGGCGGTTAGTCAAGTACTGTAGATAGATATTTTAAAGCATGGATAATGTAGTGACTATTATCTAAATTTTGCTGAATCTGAATTGGTACAAAAACAACAATGCACTGAGATCAGGGATCTGTGAAATGAAATTCAGTGTTCCAGAGATAGCATATGGTTTAAAAAATGTCTCTCATGGATAGTTATGAAGTAAAACCCTAGGATCACCCAGGTTTCCAGTACAGGTCATCTTCAGGATGAAAGCATTTGCCATGAAGAACCTGTCCTCTACAGTATAGAGGACCATTCGTGACCCTCCTTTGTTGCCGAGATATAGGTAAGGGCGGGCTGCTAAGAATTTACCATTTAGAATGTAAAAAGTCTAAAATCACAAACAAGTCATCACATAGTGTGTCACCTTAGCATTGCTGAAGGGATGCCTATTTGTGGGCTAATCAAATAATAATAAACATATGGCTCAACAGAAGAGGTTGTGTAAGAACGTGTTTTTCTTCACAAAACTGATCTCTTATTTTAGAATTATTCAACTGGCCTCTTATCTTCACAGTTTACTTCCAAACTGTCCTGCAATACTGATGGCCAATGAGAGAATTTCTCTACAATGTGACACATGCTGAACCCTCCCCTTTTCCCATGGATTCTAGGCTTAGGTAACAACGGGGGGTGGGGGGAAGCAGAAGAGAGGAACAAAGCAAGGCGATAGAAGTAAAAAAGAGCCAATACTGTAACTAGAATTAATAGAAATACAGACTACTACCAGCTTGCTCTTATGCAGCACATTCATCCATACCTCTCCTAGTGCTTTACAAAGGAGGTTAGTATCATTATCCCCATTTTACAGCTGGATAAAATGAGGCACAGGGAGGGGACATGACTAGACCAGTTCTCATGGTGCCCAGGATTGCAAGTCTCCTTGTTACTCCCTGACTCCAAAGTGAGGGAAACTTGTTTGTGCTTAGCTGGGTGTTGGCTCCTGAACACCACCAGTCTGTTAACCACTCAAGCACTTGCCTCTGGGCTATGTCAACCCTTACTTTGCCTTGCAAGTTAACAATAGGTGCACCCCAATCCCCAAGTCCTCTTTGAAGCGTTCCCATGAGATATCCAGCCCCTGAATAGCCCCTGGCTACTCACAGACATTCCAGATCTATTGTTCCCAAAGGAATAGAACACACAAGCTTATGAGATTCAGCTCATGTTCAATACTTAGCTTAATACCAGATATATATTTATTTTGAAAACATTATTAAGTTTATTATCAAAGATTCAAGTAACAGTAAAATAAATAGTTACATATAAAAAAAAAACAAAAACAGCTTTCTAGAGACTAAGCTTAACTAACAGGTTAACCTCCTGTTTAAAAAAGATCTCACCCAAAGTCTTCTGCAGTATTTTCAACCAAGGCTGGCTGAGAGCCCATTTTTATGAATGAAAGCATGCTGTCCATTTACTTTCTAGGTGCAGGATACCGGGTGTCTTCTCTGCCTCTCAGCAATACCCTCAAAGTTCACTGTCTTTACTCTTAGTCAGAATAACTCCCACATGGCTTGTTTTTTCCTGTGTGCACCTTCCTTGTTGATTTCACATCTCTTTGTTAACATTTGACTTCATATATAAAGAGGCATCTATTGTATTAGCTTAGAATGCATAATTTACATCCTGACAGAGATACACATTTCTTACCTCCTGTCTAAAGCAAAGCCTCCTGTTTACAGCAAAACCGCTTTTTCCACCTTTGCTGGTGACTAATACCTTGATACAGACTTTAAAAAAAAACATATTTTCAGTATATATACACACACAACTCCTGACAGAGTATCTGTACATATATTTCACAACAATATTAATGACCACTGTGACACTTACTTTCATTTGAGCCCTCACATGGCATTCTGTGGTGAACTAGAAAGCAGACACCTGCACCATGAGGTGCCTGTAACCCGTCTGCTTCCCCTTGCGGGTTGGCATTTAGTGGTTCTTGGGTCACACTCAAGCGGTACTTGTTTCTTTAACTGGTATCTGCTCTTCTCTTACTTTGGTTTTCTCCCTCCCCTATCCCACCCACTAGCTCTGCGTGGGCCTCCTTGTCCCCCCTAGCTGCCTGGACTAAAAGTATCTGGTAAGTTTTTTCCCTGCCGCCACACCTGTACTTTGCCTAAATGGTCTCCCTCACAGCAAAGATTCCCCTCACCTTCCCCACCCCCCATGGCTAGACCACAGAGATTTATGAGTCTACTACAACCTTCTAGCTTGGGCAGTATAGGGGTACACTTTTAGACCCAGAGAGCCTGGGTTTGATTCCTGCAGTCAGCAGCCCAACCAGGGGTGCTGCATGACACATGATGGTGAAAATGCAAGCCACCAGGTCTATGCTAATTGTCTCAGAGTTGCTAGCCTCAATGGTTGCACAAATGCTGAGAGATATGCAGAAATTTTCAGCAAGGACAAGTATGTAATGGTGACACCTTCATGGCTCATCTGGGGAATTAGCTCACTACTGTCCATGCCCCATCCTACAGTTAGTCAGCCCTCCTGTTGCCTATGTCACTCACTCTATCTCTTCTGTGACTCATCCTTCCAGCTAAGTCACAATCATCTTCCCCTTCTGGGGTCTCTCTTCAGGCAGTCTCCAAACCCACTGCAACACTCCCACAGTGGATTGTAAGGGAAGTCAGGGCCCACCTGTTTCTGCACAGGTGATCATCATCCATAATTAAGCCTCATCACATCCTAGGTCTCCTTCAGGTGCAGCCTATGGCTAATTGTCCTCTCTTGCCATTAACCCTGCCAGGACTCTCATGGGGTGAATTCCCCATCAAAAATAATTAAATCCATTTTTTTTCTTTGAACATTAAAAAAATATTCAACCTTCTTATGGCCCACCTTGAATGAGGTGGCAAACAAACATAGCTGCCACCCACTGGTTCAGCAGCAAGTATCTAGGATAACCTGGTTACATTGTGTATGCTTCATTTTCCTTGCATGTGAAGCTTCAGATGTGCTGACAAATTGAACCCATATAATGTGAATATTCATTTTAAATTGCAGTATGCTTTGAAGGAACAGGTTCCCACTTAGGTCTTTCAGTCTGTAATACATTAGTATTTCTGTTTAGTCTACACATTTTGATGGTCTACTAAATTTTAAATGACTCAAACCTAAGATGAAGGAAGGAAGCCTAATAATCTAAACCCTATACATTCTTTTGTGGCTCATTTAAACCAACTACTGTATATTGTTCCTTGTCTTATATTCTTTGCACACCCAAAGTGTGCAAGGAGTGGAGTACTGGGTCCATGGTGAGCACATGCCTATAAGACATGAATAATTCCTTAAGATTTAAAGGCAACCTGAAAAGATTAAAATAATAATACCTAACTCTAAAATAATGCTTTTTATCAATAGATTTCAAAGTGCTTCACAGTCTTTATCCTCTGTGAGATAAGTAGTTATGCCCACATTACAGGTGGGGAATAGAGAGACTAAGTGACTTACCTCCCAATCTTACACAGAACATCTCTGGCAGAGCAGGAAATCAAACCTCGGGTTTCTCAAGTCCTGATCTAATGGCCTAACCACTGCACCATCCTTTCTAAAAGTAATGGGGTTCTACTTATACTCCTTTTTTGGTTCATTACAATGTAGCCAGAAGCCATGAAAGGAATTTTGTGTTTTGTTTTTTATTTTTTTTCTCCTAGAAATAGCAAGCCTTCTCATTCCTGCTTTTGTGGCAGAATTCACTGTGAGCTCTGAGCACTCAGCTGTTGAAACTTTAACAGAGATCTTTTCTCCCAAGGTCATAGGGCAACTGAGTTAAATAGTATTTAAACACTGTAGCCAGAATAAAAAATCACCCGTCCCATCAAAATGGACAGGTTGCATTGCCTGAAAATTACCGACACTACTAACTTTCCAGACAATTCCAAGAAAAACAGGGCACACAAGATGCAAATTTCTAATGTGAGGCATGCTAAAAAAAAAGGTTGTTTTTAAAAGGCCCACACTTTCCAGGGCTTCTTGATGCATCATAAATAAGCCAGAAAGGGACACTAGGGCACCACTACTTCTTTCCTCTAAAGATCATCTTTAAGGAATAGGAGTCTTCAGATTAAATTGTCAGTGGAGTTTTGAGGCTTGGCAAAAAACTGGAACACTGTGCCAAATTCAACTCACTTGTGTGAATGGGCACAACCCAATTGGTTTCGACTGCTCATACCAATGATGAAAATTTAAGGCGTTAAAAATAAGATAAAAAATAAAGTAAATAAAATGTAGATTATGTTTTAAGGGCCCACCCTTAGAATTTTATATATCAAGTAAAAACATTTTAAATCTGAAAGTGACATCAAAATATTTTGTGTTCTAACAGGATATTATATTCACAACATAGTAGACCATGAGTGCTGTGCTGGACTGGAGAGGGCTTCTGTTACACAGAAGTGGTAGGGAGCAGGGGCTCTTGGGAGGGCAAATCCCTACTTTAATAAAATGAATGGTCCTGCTACACCAAGCAAGGCCCAGCAACCTGAACACAGATTTACCATGCTTAATTCCTGTTCAAGCCAAACAATGTAAAATGTGAAAAAAACTACATGATGTTAGCAGTGTTGTCATGGCCATGTTGGTCCCAGTGTGTTAGAAAGGTGGGTAAGGTAAAGAGATGAACTTTCAAGGTACACAGAGCTTCTGGTCTGAAGGAAAGCTCTATGTAGTTTGAAAGCTTGTCTCTCACCAACAGAAGTTGGTCCAATAAAAGAACATAAGACATAAGAATGGCCATACTGGGTCAGACCTAAGGTCCATCTAGCCCAGTATCCTGTCTTCTGACAGTGGCCAATGCCAGGTAATCATCAAGTGATCTACCCCCTGTTGCCCATTCCCAGGTTCTGGCAAACAGAGGCTAGGGATACCATCCCTGCCCATACTGGCTAATAGCCATTGATGGATCTATCCTCCATGAATTTATCTAGTTCTTTTTTGAACCCTGTTATAGTCTTGGCCTTCATAACATCCTCTGGCAAAGAGTTCCACAGGTTGACTGTGCATTCTGTGAAGAAATACTTCCTTTTGTTTGTTTTAAACCTGCTGCCTATTAATTTCATTTGGTGACCCCCTAGTTCATGTGTTCATGTGTTATGAGAAGGAGTAAATAATATTTCCTTATTTACTTTATCCACATTAGTCATGATTTTATAGATCCCTATTATATCCCCCCTTAGTCATCTCTTTTCCAAGCTGAAAAGTCCCAGTCTGATTAAGCTCTCCTCATACGGAAGTCGCTCCATACCCCTAATCATTTTTGTTGCCCTTTTCTGAACCTTTTCCAAGTCCAATATATCTTTTTTGAGATTGGGCAACAACATCTGCACGCAGTATTCAAGATTGGGAATATCTATTCCTTTCATAATGATTCCCAACATTCTGTTTGCTTTTTTGACTTCCGCTGCACATTGAGTGGATGTTTTCAGAGAACTATTCACAATGACTCCAAGATCTCTTGCTAATTACCTGTTGAGTGGTAACAGCTAATTTAAGACCCCATCGTTTTATATGTATAGTTGGGATTTTGTTTTCTAGTGTGCATTCCTTTGCATTTATAAACATTGAATCTCATGTGCCATTTTGTTGCCTAGTCACCCAGTTTTGAGAGATCGTTTTGTAGCTCTTCACAGTCTGCCTGGGATTTAACTATCTTGAGTAGTTTTGTATCATCTGAAAATTTTGCCACCTCACTGTTTACCCCTTTTTCCAGATCATTTTTGAATATGTTGAATAGGACATGGTCCTAGTATAGACCTCTGGGGGACACCACTATTTACCTCTCTCCATTCTGAAAACTGACCATTTATTCATACCCTTTCCCCTCTATCTTTTAACTAGTTATTGATTCATGAGAGGACCTGCCGTCTTATCCAACAACTGCTTACTTTGCTCGAGAGCCTTTGGTGAGGGACCTTGTCAAAGGCTTTCTGAAAGTCCAAGTATACTATATCACTAGATCACCCTAGTCTACATGATTGTTTGGCCCCCTCTAGAATTCAAATAGAGTGGTGAGGCATGATTTCCCTTTACAAAAGTTGTATTGACTCTTCCCCAACATATCACATTCATCTACATGTCTGATAATTCTGTTTTTTTGTTTTTGTTTTTTACTATAGTTTCAGCCAGTTTTCCTGGTACCGAAGTTAGGCTTCGTGGCCTGTAATTGCCACAGTCACCTCTGGAGCCTCTTCTGCGATTTGACTTCTTGCGATTTGTTCTAATATTTAACAATTGACTTTAAGGTCTTCGTTTTATGGTATAGTGAGATGTTCATATCTTGCATGCTTGGAAAAGCTTCCTTGGAAGTGTGGCCATGTGTGGGAGTTCAGTAACATTAGGTGAAAGTTCTATATTGTTAGTTGGTCCTTTAACCTATGAGATATGAGCGAGCCACGTGATCCAGCAACATTCTGTACTTCAGTATGGAGAATCTAAACTATAATTTAAGTATCCTATCGTAACCAGTTTAAGCACAAATAAAGGTGGAGCAACCAGAACTGCACACAATATTCAAGGTGTGGGTGTACCATAGATTTATATCAAGCCATTATATTTTTCTCTTTTTATCTTCCCTTTTCTTATGGTTCCTTTTTTGAGTGCAGCTGCAAATTGAGCAAATGTTTTCAAAGATATAGGAGTCATTGTGGATAGTTCTTTCTTGAGTGGTAACAGCTAATTTGGGCCACATCATTTTAACCAGTTACCAATCCATAAGAGGACCTTCCTTGTTATCCCATGACAGCTTACTTTGCTTAAGAGCCTTTGGTGAGGGACCTTGTCAAAGGCTTTCTGAAAATCTAAGTACACTATATCCACTGGATCCCCCTTGTCCATATGCTTGTTGACCCCCTCAAAGAATTCTAGTAGATTGGTGAGGCATGATTTCCCTTTACAAAAACCACGTTTACTCTTCCCCAACAAGTTATGTTCATCTATGTGTCTGACAATTTTGTTCTTTACTATAGTTTCAACCAGTTTGTCCGATACTGAAGTCAGGCTTACCGGCCTGTAATTGCCGGGATCACTTCTGGAGCCCTTTCTAAAAATTGGTGTCACATTATCTATCCTCCAGTCATCTGGTACAGAAGCTGATTTAAATGATAGGTTACAGACTACAGTTAGTAGTTCTGCAATTTCACATTTGAGTTCCTTCAGAACTCTTGGGTGAATACCATCTAGGCCTGGTGACTTATTACTCTTTAGTTTATCAATTTGTTCCAAAACCTCCTCTAATGACACCTCAGTCTGGGACAGTTCCTCAGATTTGTCACCTAAAAAGAATAGCTCAGGTTTGGGAATCTCCCTCACATCCTCAACCATGAAGACCTATGCAAAGAATTAATTTAGTTTCTCCGCAATGGCCTTATCGTTCTTGAGTGCTCCTTTATCATCTCAATCGTCCAGTGGCCCCACTGCTTGTTTAGCAAGCTTTCTGCTTCTGCTGTACTTAAATTTTTTTTTTTTGCTATTACTTTTTGAGTCTTTGGCTAGCAATTCCCCAAAATCTTTTTTGGCCTTCCTAATTATATTTTACACTTCGTTTGCCAGAGTTTATGCTCCTTTTTATTTTCCATACTAGGATTTAACTTCCACTTTTAAAAGGATGCTATTTTGTCTCTCACTGCTTCTTTTACTTTGTTGTTTAGCCATAGTGGCTCTTTTTTGGTTCTCTTACTATGTTTTTTAATTTGGGGTATACATTTAAGTTGAGCCTCTATTATGGTGTCTTTAAAAAGTTTCTATGAAGCTTGCAGGGATTTTACTTTTGGTGCTGTACCTTTTAATTTCAGTTTAACTAACCTCCTCATTTTTGTGTAGGTCCCCTTTCTGAAATTAAATGCTACAGTGTTAGGCTGCTGTGGTGTTTCCCCCATCACAAGGATGTTAAATTTAATTATACTATGGTCACTATTACCAAGCGGTCCAGCTATATTCACCTCTTGGACCTGATCCTGTGCTCCACTGAGGACTAAATCAAGAATTGCCTCTCCTCTTGTGGATTCCAGGACTAGCTGCTCCAAGAAGCAGTCATTTAAGGTACCAAGAAACGTTATCTCTGCATCCCGTCCAGAGGTGACACAATACCCAGTCAATATAGGGATAGTTGAAATCCCCCATTATTATTGAGTTTTTTATTTTAATAGCCTCTCTAATCTCCCTAATTTTATTTTAATAGCCTCTCTAATCTCTCTAATCTCCCTGAGCATTTCATAGTCACTATCATCATCCTGGTCAGGTGGTCAGTAGTATATCCCTACTGCTATATTCTTATTATCTGAGCATGGAATTACTATCCATAGAGATTCTATGGTATAGTTTGGTTCATTTAAGATTTTTACTTCCTTTGATTCTATGCTTTCTTTCACATAGAGTGCCACTCCCCCACCAGCACTACCTAACCCGCTTTGTCTCTCTACAACATCTCTACAGCATAGCGTGTTCCTCCCACTGTTTTCATTTTGCTTGTTATCAGATTGTTTAGCCAGTGAGGCAAAGGACCTGACCAGATGCTGAGCTGAGCGTCCTCAGCTTTTGTGAATGATGAGGGCACTCATCACCGAACAAAATTGGCCCTTAACTACATAACACTAAGAGCAAGCGGTGGAACTGATGCAGTCAGAAATTTTAGACATGTGCATGCAAGGTAAGTGTTCCTTAGAAGACTGGGTTATTAAAAAGGATGGGTGGGTGTTGTGAATACGCAAAAAGGCCTTATTTTGGCCTGTCTCACATCTGGTATTTATCTTCTATGTTATTGTTCTTGCTAAGTTACAAGGTCACTGGTAGGTGAATATTGGTTTAAAGATGCACAGCAAAGATGCAATTAGATTGAGGCACATTTAAGAGCAGTAAAAAAAAAAAAAAATAGAAGCATTGACATTTCCCCTGCTATGGAAAAGGAAAAAATACTGGTGGTAGCTTTGCTAGGGAAAAGTGTGCATGGATGCCCCGTGCAAACAGAAGATTCTCTGCGAAGTTGTTCAGCTGAAGAATGGATTTTGCAGTAGAAAATCTGAAATGCACATTATTTCTAAACCATGGACTGCAGAGTTGTTGAATACTTCAGTATTGATTGAATTGTAGATTGAATAGATTGAATGTAATTAAGCTACACACATTTATATGCTATGACTACTATATTTGTTAACTCTTTTTCTGTCATATCTGATGTATAGTATTAGGCTTTGTGTATTATATTTTAGTTACCATAATCTACATTGCATATTAAAATCACTTGAATCCTATGTTATGTATGGCTTCTTTTCAACATCATTTTATTTATTTACTTTACATACCATTTATAATTCACCATTTTCCAGCTTATCAGTTTTATTTAAATCTCTCATTTATTTCCTTCTCTACAGTATGGCCTTTAGCACACGCAAAATGCAGCCCTTTCCCTTCAATCTCTTCTCTGGGTAGAAGTGCATGTGCTTTTGTACACAGTAGTCATCTGACACATAAGGTTTTCGGATGGCAGAACACCAGTTTAGTATAATTTAATCTATAGGAAACTAGCTAATTCCTAGGTGCAAGCCACCTGGTTAGAGCCTTGCACAGACACAACATTTGGAACTGCATCTGATCGGCGATCTGCAAAAATGGTCCACTGATATCTGCAGATTTGCAGGGCTCTACACATGGGAACTGGATAATTTTCTAAAGTTTCGCAGCTGTGCCTGAGAAGAGGGAAGTTTTCTGACCACTGGGAGGCAGTGCATGTCAAAACACTTGAAAGGAGCCAGTCTCAATTTACCTAGTCAAAGAAACCTTCCTCCCAACCCTATACAACCCTATGGTAGCAAGTACTACATCTGGTAGTAGGTTATTTTATAAACTAGTTAGTTAGCAGACACTCATTTTCCAACCTGTCTACTATAAATGCCTAGTGCATTTTTAAGTGCCATGTTAATTATACTTACATTTTAATTAAAAAGATTTTTTATTCTTCTTTGAAGGAGGAAAATACAAGAAATTAAGACTTGGATACTGTGTAAGGGATCACAGATTGGAAATCCAAGTATATACACACAGGCCTTTTCCCATCTTTCTAATTGTGGAACTCCCATTAAAGTTAATGAGAGTTCTGCATACAGAAAAATGGCAAAGGATCAGATAGGGAAAATGAAGGAGAATATACTCTAATATGGCATATTACAATTGTTGGAGGTGCTATAACATAGAATTTGTGAATAAAATTCTGCTTTCAGAAACCCATATGTACATATGTGCATTGGAGAGCCAAATGAGAATTTGAGCAAAAATGCTTTTCTAAGTTGAAATACTGCATTTCTCAAGTTACTTTTGTATCTGATATTTGCAGTGTGCATAAAGACCCACATAAATATGGTAGCTTTAGAAATAAAAGCAACATTTTAACACGGAGCAGTAGGAGTCAATAGAAATGTCCCTTCAGGTTTGAACACAAAGTAATGATTAAGAGTTAACTGCTGGAGAATTGTTAGGTTTTGCTGTCTAAGACTCTTTCCATACTGTGCCCCTCCATTGTCTCAGAATCACATAGGGCCAAGTGGGGAAGAGTGCAGAGGCCACCTGGACATTCACACTTTGACTAATTTAATGTATATTTTAGGGCTGTCAATTAATCACAGTTAACTCATGTGATTAACTAAAAAAAATTAATCATGATTAAAAAATTAATCACGATTAATCACATTTATAACAATAGAACACCAATTGAAATTTATTACATATTCTTGGATGTTTTTCTACATTTTCAATATTGATTTCAATTACAACACAGAAAACAAAGTGTACACTGCTCACTTTATATGATTATTTTTTATTACAAACATATGCACTGTAAAAAGGATAAACAAAAGAAACAGTATTTTTCAATTGACCTCATACAAGTACCAAAGTGGAATCTCTTTATCCTGAAAGTGCAACTTACAAATGCAGGTGTTTTTTGGTTACATAACTGTACTCAAAAACAAAACAGTATAAAACTTTAGCGCCTACAAGTCCACTCAGTCCTACTTCTTATTCTGCAATCGCTAAGACAAACAAGTTTATTTACCTTGACAGGAGATAATGCTGCCCACTTCTGATTTACAATGTCAGATTTACAATGTGAGAACAGGCTTTTGCATGGGACTTTTGTAGTGGCGTTGCAAGGTATTTACATGCCAGATATGCTAAACATTCGTATGCCCCTTCATGGTTCTGCCACCATTCCAGAGGACATGCTTCCATCCTGTTGATGCTCGTTAAAAAAATTATGCATCAATTAAATTTGTGACTGTACTCCTTCGGGGAGAATTTTATATTCCCTGCTCTGTTTTACCTGCATTCTGCCATATATTTCATGTTATAGCAGCCTCGGATGATGTCACATGTTGTTGAACAGCATGATTAATCGTGATTAATTTTTTTAATCACTTGACAGACCTCGTATAATTGCTTTCATGCAGCCTGCAGTCCCATCCTGTGATGTCCTGAGCACCCAAAAATCCCACTGAAAGTGAATGGGCATTGAGGATGGTTAGCATCTCTCAGAACTGAAGCCTTAAAGTCTAATCATGTTAAGAGTATTTAAATGGCTTCAGTGGGAAGCATTTTCTCATCCATTTATGGAGGATTTACATCAACAATTTACTGTAAAGCTAACATGAATGTGTATGTCTATTAATGGTAATGAGGAGCTAAACATGCAAATCTCACACACCTGGATGGAAGACTGCAAATTCTCCCATGCTGGAACATTAAAAACATTGAAAGCTGGACACAACATTCAATATAATGTAATAATAATGAGTGTAATGCAAGAAAGTGCTGAACACCCTAAAATTCCATTAGTGGGTCTTCAACAGTAGTTGAGAGCACTCAGAACCTTGCAAAACCAGGGCTAATGGTAGATGCTGTAATACAAAGAGAAAGGTGCAATGAAGCTGGCGGCATGGTAATCAGAGAGCACCTTTCTTGTCCCTTATGGAAAAGACAAAGGCACACATTGCTATGACTGTGAGTTAGCTGAATAAGCAGCACACAAGAAAATGTGTGTTTGTATTACGGTGCACAAAGGATGTGTCTGAGAACTGTCCTCTGTGCTCATGTACAGTATGTATTTTCTGCATGAAAAGAACTGCACAGATTCGCTAGGCAGAGCGATTGTGTAAAAGTAGAATGCGATAGTATTCAGCTCCGTAATGAAGTTATATATTTTGCTTACTTGCATGTTACAGCAAACCTTTATGTAAATGCATCCCAGGGAGCAATCTGTAAAAACAAAACTGATATTTACAAAACATACTGTAAATTTTAAAAAATCTCAGACTTTTTCAAATGAATTTTTTTGTGTCTCTGTAATTTGAATTAACTTATATCACTGTATTAATAACTTGCCATAAGTGCTGTATGTGTCATTTGGATACTCTTATACTTGCCTTGCGTTTATGTGGTTCAAATACAATAAAACAAGAGGGCTCAAGAACAAGACCCAATGGAACAGCATCCACAGTTGAAAAATTGCTAATTTGTTTTTGAAAAGCTGTCCAGCCTTGATGTTCTTCTAGGCAATCATTATCTTCTAAAAAATCACTGGTTAGAATTGTACCAAAAAATCTGAGCCCTGTCTGGATCAATATTTTGAACTTATTTAAGTAGCATTTGTAATTCCAAGGTACATTTTGTGCTGCTTTTGAATGCTGTTTTCCAACATGTTGTTTCTTAAAGAGTAAATGGATGTTTTATTTGTTTGTTGTACCTGTGTTCATTTTGTCAGGCTTTCACAGCCACATTTTCCCCCTTTTACCAGTGGGAACAACTGAGTATTGTAACTGACCCCACAGCAGGGTCACTGTGAGAGCTGTGGCATACCAGCCCCCTACAGGTCCAGCAGCACACTGGCTGGCTCTCCACGCACTCGGCTCTCCAGGCTCTAGCCCTCGGTGGGTTTCCACCATGAATGCTCAGTCTAATGCATAAGGCTGCCAGAAATAAAGTCACGGCTTCTTTACTGGCTCAGTGACTCACCCAAGCAGTTCCCAACCCACTCCTAAGGGCAGTGCGGGACAGGGGCAGTAACAGAGGAATCTTGTTGGGACCTCTCCACACCGCTTCTTGTCCTGAGACCTGCTGCCACCGCTACTGCTGGCTCCCTGCCAGCAACAGATTTCTGCCAGGGTTCACACCAGAATGTGGCCAGCAGCAGCCTTTTGTCACTGTGCGGGAGAGAAGGGATGGGAGCTGCTTCCAGCCGCAGGGGAGGAGGAGGGAGAAGGGATGACCTGGCCCGTGTCTTTGCAGAGCTCATCTCTTCCCCACTCCCCCCCCACCCCCCAGCCCATTCCCCCTGTCCCCTGTGGCTGGAAGCAGTTTGTCCCTTCCTGCCCACACATGTCGAAAGGCAGCTAACACCTCCAGGCTGCTGCTGACCACTGACATAACCCAGCCGCCTCCTGTCCCCTGGCTATAGTGCAGGCAGGAAGGGGTGAAGCCCTATGGAGGCGGTGTGCACTAGGGCCCAGGGAACCTGACTGCAGGGGCTTCAGCAAACCTGGCCAGAGACCTGGCTCAGCTTCTCCTCTCCCCACCCCTGCGTCCCGCTCCACCCCACCACCACTCCAGAGTTTAGCTGAGGGGCAGAGAGGCTGCCCCATGCCAGCCCTGTGCAGGTCTTTGGCACATGCAGAGCTCGACCCCTCCTGGCCAATGCCCCAGGCCAGAGGGCCTTTGGCTTTCCAGGGGCGCCAGCCCAGCCAGAGGCAGTGGGGGAAGGAAGGAGCCTGCCGGCCAGGCTGTTGGTGAGCTGAGCACTCCGACCAGGGGCTGGTTCTCCGCACAGTGCTGGGACGGGGCACGCCCTGCCGGGGGGGATCTGTAAGAGCAGTGGGTTTGGGGGGGGACGAAGGATCAAAGCAGGGAGAGGATAGTGAGAGGGAGAACACGTAAAGGGCTGATGAGTGGGTAGCAGAGGTGAAATGCAACTGGCTGCGGCCTGGTGCCTGCCCACACTCACCAGTCACCACAGCTCGCAGCCAGTGCCATCCGGAAACGGGATGGGGGGCAGGGCTCTGCTAGCCGAGAGCTGGCATGCAGCGGGGGCTGAGCTGACAGACCAGCAAGGGGAGCGGCCAGCCACGTGCGCTGCATCTTCGCCGCACCACCAGCCTTGTACACCCACCCCCATCATCAGCCACTGGACACCCCCACTCACTGCTGGTGGGAGGGAGGCTGGCAAGCAGGGATCCAGCCAGCAGCAGTACCCACTAGTATTGATGTGGGGGGGAGGGGGAGACACTAAGACCCTGTTCTTTTGGCATTTCTGACCCAGTCAGAAGCAGCGAGTACCAGAAAACTCACAAGGCGGCTTCCTCTCGCAAGATTTCCTGCCCAGTTTTGTTAGGCTCATGTGATCAGTATAGTTCAAATAAACCCTCAATTTTAGGGTATTAACTGATTAGCGGAACCAAAGCTCTGAATATTTGAATTCAACCCATGACTAATGGAAACATTTTTTTCTTCCTTGATCCAAGCCTACTAAATGTCTCACCTTAAAATACCATGGAACGTTGCTAATTTACACACTTTATAATACACAAAAATGTGGCAGTCTCTTGTATCTCAAGATTTTAAACAATGCTGCAGTGAAGATTCATATACTAAAACATTGTATTAAGAAGATACACTGCACCTGCTAATGCATAGACAGTTAATTAATCAAAACTAGACTGTGAACTGGCCAGAACAGATGACTACTATACAAGCTGTGATGCAGCAGCCTTGCTGTTACTGAGCTGCGTTCACTAATTTATAAAACTCAGTCCTCTGCAATGGATCCCTTAGTTGCTGGTGTGACTTAGTGAGGATTTTCCTGCACTATGAATTGCTGAGACTTTTAGGGTAAAGGTGCTGAGTAAACATTAAGCAGGGTTGCAACCCTTTATGAGAGTATCATAAGTGTCACAGTTCTGGCCTATTTTGAAGGCTGATTGTGATCAGCCTCAGACAGCTCAGGAATCTTGCTTCAGTCTCTTGCAGTTCCTGCTTTGGTGACTAGAAGTGGACATGCTGCTAGAGCGGGAGACAGCGCTGGTTGTGCACCTCAGAGTAGGGCAGATGCAATGCAGCACAGCCACTGAGTTCCTTTATTCCTCTACCACAAGGTAGTCCCTTGATACAGTTTTCAGTTTTGTCTGCCACCCTCTTGAAGCAAGTCAAACTAGTAAAATTAGTTTCCCCCCCAGTGGATGGGTCTTCTCCAGACTTGTAACCTACCCAGGAATTTGCCTTTATAAACCCCCAGTGTTCATAGTTCCTGCAGGAAACCCTCATTGAGTCAGGAATACAATCACTAGCCTCTAAAGATACATATAACATTTACCAAGCTGGTACTAAAATCTGACTCTTCTGTCTGTCCATCACATCTGTCACAGGGGTATTCTGCAAGCTTAACCCAAATGCCTTCTCAGAGAAGCGCTGATCCAAAGCCCACTGAAGTCAGAGGTAGGAAAGCAGATTGCTATGACATATTATGTGTTTCCAGTTGTGAATTTCTATTGACGCACATCACTGGGGGTTTCAAACATGGAATGAGTTCAGAATGTGCTTTAGAGAATAAATTGAAGAGAGGCTTGCCCGTAGTGTATATGCTATTTTCACTGTTTTCAGTGAGAATCATGCATCTGAAAGTAAGGGTTGGCTATACTGGGATTTAAAGTTTAAAACGGATTTAAGGTAAAGTGTAAAACCAATCTGCTATTTAGTAACGTTGCCATAATCTAATAAGAGACTAATACAAACACTGCAGAACATTAATTTTAGCACGAAGAGCTCTGCCCCACTGTGATATGCAATTATTGCTACCCTGTGGAATTTCAAATCTTCTAATGCAAACCAAAAATTGGGCTGCTCTTCTGTTGATTCATATTTTAAGGCAGCTGTTCTAGGCAGCAGAGCCCTCCAGATTCTTCAGCACAAACTGTTCTGTCAAAGAAGTGGTTCAAGTTTGTGGGGTTTTTTTTAATATGAAAAATGATTCATAGCAGAAGCATGATATCTCACTTCAGAGAAGTTTGTTTAAGGTCCCTTCAGGTCATGCAAAGCTCCCGGTTCCACACTTCTCTTCTACCCCGCCCCCACAGCAGCTGTTCACAAGAACTTTGGATAGGACACTGTTTCTTTCAGATAGAAAACAAAACAAACCAGGAAATTTCATTTCAAAGAGCAACTGAGAGATTTTTTAAACAAAATCCCTAGTTTTTTTCTCTGCACAGTCCTAAATATGCTGTAAGTCTCATAAGTAAGCTCAAAAAGTAATTGTTAATGGGAAATCATCATCCAACTGGGGGGTGGGGAGGCATTTTTAGTAGGATTCTGCAGGGATTTATCTTGGGCTAATACTATTCAGTATCTTTATCAGTTATCTGGAAGAATATATAAAACCATCGCAGGTAAAACTAGCAGATGAAAAATTGGTGGAGGGCGGAGCAGTTATACAGCTCAATCTGGGTCACTTGGTACAGTGGACTCATTTGAACAATATGTGTTTTAATACAGCCAAATGAAAGATAGGAACAAAGAATGTATATTTCACAAGACGAAGGACTCTATTTTGGAATACAACACTGAAGAGGACTTAGGGGTTGTGGTAGACAACCAATGGAAAATGATCTCCCAGAGTGATGTGGTAGCTAAGAGGGCTAACATGATATTTAGATACGTAAGCAGAGGAATAGTAAATAAGATCAGGGAAGTGGTGTTACCTCTGTTTATAGCTTTAGTGAGATCATTACTGGAATACCGTGTCCTGTTCTGGTGTCCACACTTCAAAAAGAATGTTGAAAAATTGGAAAGGGTTCGGAAAAGAGCTACAAGGATACTATGAGGTCTGAGAAATATGGCATCTAGTGAGAGATCAAAGAAGTTCAATCTACTTAGTTTATTCAAGAGAAGGGTAAGAGGTGACTTGATCCTGGTCTATATGGTCCCACATGGGAAGATATTGCTGATAACAGACTGTTCTTTAATAGAGCAGAAAAAAGGCATAGGAGCCCTCCTGGTATAAGAGATCCAGTAACTGGAAGTTGAAGCTAGACACATTCAGGCTAGAAATAAGATGCAAATTTTTAACAATGTGGATAATTAACATTGGAGAACAAGGTGGATTCTCCATCACTTGAATTCTCTCAGTCAATGTTGGATATCTTTCTAAGAGAAACACTATAGTTCAAGCAGGAGTTATGGGCCTGATGAAAAAATTACTGGGTTGTATGGTCTGTGTTATGCAAGAGGTCAAAATAGAGCCTCATAATGGTTCCTTCATGCCTTAAAATTGATGACTGAATCTATGAAAAGGAATAGCTATCAAGGTTCTGATTTTTTTCCCCTCCTTTTGGTAGATGTAAGGATGAGGGCCCAGTAGACAAATGGACATTAGCATATTGATAACATCCATCTCTGTGGCCCTGATCCTGAACTATTTAATTCAATGAAAGTCTTACCATTGACTTCACTAGGAGCAGGAACAGACCCCATGGCTCCATCTTCTTTGACCCTGCTGCTAGAGCAGTTGAACACTTTGCTCAGTGTTTGATAAGATTAGAGCATGACTAAGAGCTAGATGGCTGAAACTCAATTCAGATAGACTGAGGTGATGTTGGTAGGTGGAGAAAGCAAGTAAAGGAGATCCCAGAGATTTCTGTCCTCTTTCTGATTGCTAAAGGGAGCAAGTGGCCACACTGAGAGTTGAATTTGG